CCCCAAAGCAACCTGTATAGAATTAATGCAATCCCCATTAAAATCTCTATGACATTCCTCTCAGGACTAGCTTAAAAACAATGTTAAGGTTTACCTGGAAGTGCAACAGACCCCCAGTAGGCATAAACAACAATAAGAAAAATAAAAAGAGCTGGAGGTATCACAATGCCTGACCTCAGAGTAGATGACAGAGCTGTCGTTTTCATTTCAGCATGGTACTGGCACAAGTACCATGTATTGAAAGATCCCCGGAGGGTATCTTCCGTCAGAGAGACCCCCTCCCAAAGATCAACGAGGCCATTCGGATGCAAACAGCAAGAGGCTTTTATTTTGATTCACGAGTACTCGGGGCGAAAAGTCATTCGGAAGACTTCCGCGCCCCCTAGATGGGAAGCTGGGGTTTTTATAGGGTTTTAGAGGCAGTAGCACTGGTACAGAAGCGAGAGGGCATGGTTACAGGGGGCTGATTGGTACGTTTACACGAGACCACAATTTGCGTCAAAGTTTGGCAGGGGCACCAAGATTTCAGGAACTGGGTGGTCAAGGGGGGTAGGATGACCCCTTGACGTGGCCCGCCACCTGTTATTTTGTTTTTCCCTATCTTAGCTGAAACAGTCTCACAGATATCTATGAGAGTGAATAACACAAACTGTTTTTAGTATGACTGGGGCAGCCTGACCACAGATATCCCAAGTGGGTGACACAGCTAGGATTTCTCAGTAATTTTCCAGTTTCTCATCTGGCCTTCAGAGTTTTACAAAACAGTGGTGTCTCACAAAATGGCATTAGCTATGTTTAACTTAGTGTGAGGCTGGGGTCTTTCATTATGAAGGATGAAGACCAACAAAAGAAGAGGCTCAGAGCTACAGCTAACTAATTTTTGTTATTTTTTTTGTTTTTCAGCCATCTGATTTTCGACAAAGGTGTCCTAAAGCTTACATGGAGAGAAGACAGCCTGTTGAACAAACAGTTCTGGGAAAACTTTGATATCCAAAAGTGCAAGCATGGGAACTACATCCATATCTTTCATGGTGCACAAAAGTCAATTCAAACCGAAATGGATCAAAGACAGTAAAATAAGAGCTGAAATCTTGAAACTGCTAAGAGGAAGCATAGATGAAACACTTTAAGATACAAGCATAGACACAGATTTTCTGGAAAGAATACTAATCACATAGGAACCAATCCAAGAACTGTCAAGGGAGACTACATGAGGTAAAAAAAAAAAAAAAAAAAAGCTTCTGCCTGGTGAGGAGAGGGAAAGTTAGCAAGACATAGATAGACAGGGAAATTGAAAGTGGATTCTCTAAGATAGTGGCTTCTGGTTCCCAGAAGACCTTGTGAGGTGTGTACTGGTTATAGAGGCTGGTATCTCACCCGGACTAATAGAGGAAGGGGGAAGGGCTTCCAGCTCTGAGGTCCACTCATCCCAAAGGAAGCAGTTTGTTTGCTTCAATAAACCTGCTACTTTCACTTTCTCAGTAAGTTGGTCTTCTGTCTTTCCCGGATGTTCAACTTTGCCAACCCTATGGAATAAACTTGGTAATCCTCTACCTTCCTATCAGCCCCTCCATTACAGAGGCAAAGCCAGGAGAATCCCTGTGAATTCGAGGCTAGTCTGGTCTACACAGTGAATTCTAGGACAGCCAGAGCTACATACATATGTCTCCAAAATACAAAACAAAACAAAAACCCTAAGGAACCTAATCCATCCAACCAATAAATGTGTTGACATACTGAATAAATAGTTCTCAAATGAAGGACTAAAAATGGCCAATAAATAATTTTTAAGCATTCAGCATTTTTAGCAATTTAGGAAATACAGTATAAAACTACTTGACAATCTCTCTCATCCCAATCAGGATGGCTATCATCAAGAGAACAAATGACAACAAACACTCACAATAGAGAGGAACATGTATATTTTCTTTGTTTGATGTGTTTTTTGAGCCAGAGTTTCTTTGTCTTAGCTCTGGCTGTCTTGGAACTTGCTCTGTAGATCACGCTGGCCTAAAACTCACAAAGATTTGCCTGCCTCTGCCTCCCAAGTGCTGAGATTAAAGCTGTAGATCACCACTGCCCTATATTTTCAAAACAAGACTGCCAGTCTGCTGGAGTGGAGACAGAAAGAGTGAAAAGAGTAGGAGAGGATGTCAAGGACCATTTAAGAATAGAGGTAGGAGCCAGGAGATGGTAGCACATGCCTTAAATCCCAGCACTCGGGAGGCAGAGGCAGATGGATCTTTGTGAGGTTGAGGCCAGCCTGGTGTACATAGCGAGTCCCAGGACAAAGAGAAACCATATCTACACAGAGAAACCATATCTCAAAAAACAAACAAACAAAAAAGAAAGAACAAAACAAAGAGAGTGGAGATAAGAAGATCTCGATGTAAATAAACATTAGGCAAGCATACTGAGATAAATTGTGTTATTCTTAAAGCTATGTTCAAATGCTCACCCCTGGTATCTGTGGATATAACTTGATTAAGGAACTGGATCTTTTCAGATTCTAAGATATTAGGATGATGCCCTATTCTATCAGCATGGGCCCTCATCCACCAACTGGTCTCCTTGTAAGAGGAGAGAAATTAGGACACAGATGTACTCTGGGAGGAGAAAACCATGTGCAGATAAAACAGATAAATAAAGGGAACACAATGTGAAAGCAGGCAAAGATTGAAATGGTACATCCAGAGGCCAAGGAAGGCCAAGGATAGCTGATAACAGCCGGGACCTAGGAGAAACAAATTCTCCCTCAGAGCCTCTGGAACGAACCAGCCCCGTATGATATTGGCTTTGTTCTTCCATGCATTGAGAACAGTGAAAGAATAAGTATCCATTGTTTTAAGCCTCCCAGTTCATGATAATTTGCTAGAGCAACCCTGAGAATAGATGCTATGAACAAGCATAGAAGCAGTGCGGTGATTGCAGTAGTCCTGTTGAAAAGTGACAAGGGCCAGGATCTCGAAGAATAATGATGGACACAAAACAGTAAGAAAGATTCTAGATTCATCGTGAAAGTATAGCCAACATATGCTGAGATATGAGGTGTGGGGTGTGAATAATGTGCTCTTTTAATGTTGTCAACTGTATCAATGTTTAGATACATATGTACATATGTGTTTTACATAGATATATATGTATATATGTATGTGTTATACAGCTCTATAAGTATACATATTTTCATTGATTGGAGTAACACAGGTTTGGGGCTGCTGAAGCTAGAATTGTTTGATAAGGTAATAAAAAAAATGCCTGCTTTGCTGTGTGATCAGAAAGTAAATCACATTGTTTCTCTGAGTCTTAGATGTCCTTCATGGTAAAATGCGAAGGTTGGGCTCCATTTAATGATATGTAATTCAATTATTATCAAACATAGTTCTTGACTGTTTGCCATTTGATAGCTCTAAAACATGAAGGAGTGCTATACCACACACCAAACAGTACAGCAAAGTAATCCTTGTTCTCTTTCCGAATCCTGTTTTCCATCAGCATAGTTGTATTTAGATTTTAGGATATTAATAGAATTATGGAGCAAGATAATGATAGTTGCGTTGTTGTTGTTTTGTTTTTGTTTTGGTTTTTTTTATGTATGGTTTACTGTGTCACTTACTGTTTTAAGGACTTGAAGTGATTGGCTCACTCTTCACAATACTCCCAAACGAGGAAGCTGACACACAAAGCAACCAAGAAAGGTTCCTTTCTTTTATTAGTAATGGATGTCATAGAAAGCAAAAGTAAATGGAGCCCTTTTGAGACAATGAAAACCAATGATAAAAACATGGCAATTTGTAATCCCGCAGGCTAATTCTGTCAGGGTCTTTAATAAAACACACACTGACATGAGACATCTACTTCACTCCAACCCTTGTTGACTTTGGTTCTCTACGGAGGAAAAGACAGCCTGAGAACTGGGCCTCAGGGCATCTGATTGCAGCCTTGCCAGTTTCTAACGCATGTTAGATCCGGTTCCCAAGGTTTGAATTTTTAAAATGTATCTCCAGTATTTTCCCAAGTCACTCACTTGTTAGGTCTTGTTAAATTAGATTGTCACTTTTAAAATGTACTTTAACCACATTTCACTTGAGATCCTAGATCCATCATTTCCTTTTCTCTCTCTTGTGTCCAAGAAACGACCAACTTTCTAAAGAAACACTCATTACTATATCTGGTGTCCCCAAGCCCCTGTGTTTCACAGCCCTCAGCCTTGGTCAGGTACATTTTGATGACTAAAGAATTTATACTGTGCCACAGACTACTCAGACTCGAAGGAGATCATTTATTTATTCCACAAAGTCACGTAATTGGAATAAATAATATAAGGAAAGTTTTGAGGAAGCTTTAAAGCATAAAAAGAGAATTTGGGTGACTGGGGAAAGCAAATGATTTTACCCTGAGAAGAGTGTAAACTAGTTGCCCCAGCAGTTCTTAAATTCAAATGGTTACAAGAACAGCCTGGGCAAATTCTTGAATGATACAGGTCCCGGCTCAAGGTCGTCAGTCCTTGGTCCAAAGTAGAACTTCTGGCTAAGCCATTATGCTGACCTGCAAGGGTGTGCATGGGGTAGGGATGGTGAGAAGATGCAACCCCCACGTTATAAGTAACCCTGATTCCAGCCCTAGAGATCTCCCAAAGGGAAACCTCCATAGCATCATGGTGCTAAATATTAAATTTAGCGATGAACCCTCTGCGACTGCCTCTCCGAAGTCAATGATTACATAGCCTTGTGAGTATTCCAGATCCATTCTAGTAGTCACACTGGTGGGTGTGTTTGCATAGCACTGTCTTGACCCTTCCTATTCTGACTCAGCGTCTTCTCCCTGCCTTCCTATTTCTTCCCTGGCAGAAGCCACCACCGTGGCCGCCCTACCGGGCATGCTCAGTGCTCTGATCTGGCCTTGGCTCCCTGATTAGCAGTACTCAGCCTGCAGCGCCAGGTCCCTTCAGTGCCCAGGTCCCTTTAGTGCCCTGGTCCCTTTAAATCCATCCGCCTCGTTGCTAAGCAACAGTGTGGCCCGCGTTGGAGCTGCACTGCAGAGGCTCTGCCCCGGGGCAGTGGGCCGGGTCGCGTTGGCCCAGACTGAACAAGGGGCTGCCGCCTGCCGGTGGTGGCCAGCTTTGGGAAAGAGTGGACCGGGTTCATCAGATCGCACCCGCGCTTCCAGGTATGTTTGTGGACGGGACATTGCGGGCTCCCCTGGCATTCCCCTCTTTACCCCCTGACTTGCCCAGCAAGAGGGCGGAAAACCCAGGAAGTCCCAGCAGCAGTTTTTTGTTTTTTTGTTTTTTTTTTCTCTCTTGAGAGCCTCAGGCTGGAGCTAAGGAGTGTTTGAAAGAAAAGAAGCAGGGCGTGGGAAAGGGGTGGTGGACGGAGAAGTGGGGTCAAGCTTATCCATTCACCCACCAGCTACAGGATTGGGACTGGGGAGGTGAAAAGTGGGTGCTCTGGCAGCGTCTCATTCCCAGCCACCTTCTTTCCATGGAAGCAAGGATGGCAAGAGTTTCAGTTAACCATTCACAGAGAAAAATCCCCAAACTATGCATACAAAGATATAGCTTTATAGCAAGAATGTGACTTCCATAGCAACAAAGTCTAACTAAGCCTTGGGAACTCAGGTGACTCCTTATCTTTTCTTCAAGTCGGAATAATTTCACACTAATACCAAAGAATTGGGGGCGAATACTAGCCACAGAATCCAGTGTTCAATGCTACTTTGTTTCTCTCTCCATATTGGCCAAACAATAGAAAAGACATTCTGTCCAGGCAAGTGGACAACTTGACCCGTATGTTAGGACCCTGAAAAACGAAAACAGAAAGATCATCTCTTTGTCCTGTTTTTACAAGATAACTGCCCTCTAAGGAGGGAAGCCAGGCCCAGCCCCTTGCTAGTGTGGTTCTTCCTTGCCCATTATGATCAGCAAGCTCTGTCTCCTAGTTTCCACTGTGACGTCTGTTCAACACTTAGCTAAAGGTAAAGAGATACCGTGTTGGAAACAGTATCACCAAGAATCTTGCCCCGTGTGCCACTTGTATTGCCTGAGGAAGATAAGCAGTAGTTATAACAGTTGGAGCAAAAAGACAACTTACTTTCACTCTGGAGACATGAAACTTTCTAGGTGTAGCACATATGTCTTTAATCCAACGGTCAGAGAAGAACTTGGATATGGACATTCGTTAATTATATTTCCCGATTGCCCTGCAGGGAGTACGGGGGGCGGGCTATTCTTTTCCAGTTCTAGCTGGTGGAGACCAAAGACATCCGGTCTAGGAACTTGGACCTCAGACCCGGTAAGTACGTTGTTCTGGCTGTTATCTCATCCTGGGAGTTGAGAAGCTTAGAGTCTGGCCCAACATAAACCTTCAACTTTGTAACCAAATCATCAGTCTTCATTGTCAGGACACTTTCAAGACTGCCTCGTAAACATCCAAAAGAAAAGTGTCCTGAAGACTTTAGCTAAGCTAAATAAACTTCAAGGGGAAAAAATGAAAGTGTTTACCCTAAAATATCATCCAGAGAACTTTGTAAGTTAGAGAGGAGAATATGGAATTTTCTTTTTTTCTTCTAGAAGCAGCCTAGCTAGGCCACAGAGGAGGACATTGCAGCCAGTCCTGATGTGACCTCATAAGCTAGGGTCAGGTGGAAAGGGAGGAGGACCTCCCCTATCAGTGAACTTAGAGAGAGGCAGGGAGGAGATAAGGGAGGGAGGGTGGAATTGGGAGGGAACGAGGAAGGGGGCTACAGCTGGGATACAAAGTAAATAAACTATAATTAATATAAAAAATAAAAATTTAATAAAAAAATCCACACCTTTAAAATCAGTGTTGCCAGATACTGGTAGAACCATTATACTTGGCTCCAGAAAAAGGAATATGACAAGTGGGCAAATGAATTTACTTAGAGTTTAGGAGAGAAAATTCTCACTCAGCCTTTCTCACAGCTTTTAGAAACACCAGGAGATATACATATGTAGATTTAGCTGTGAGCCCAGATTACTGGGATTGAGACATAGTCCTGGTGTCAGGGATGAGCATTCTTGAGGTGGGCCATTTGCTATTAGCCACCTGTGAAGTAGGTTCCTCACTACTCATGCTTTGTCTTTTTCTTCCACAACCTGCACTTAATCCAAAGATTTCCCCTTTCTTTCTCATCCTCAGTTTTGTCTAGTAAAACATAGTGATCTGCTTGAGTCTTTACTTTGTTATGGAGTGGATTTCTACAACTTAGTGAAAGAGCATAGGAAATAAAAAAAAGGTACCATAGAAGAATCAGGTTAGAATCCTCTTTCATGCCTGAAAGCAATGGGAACAGAGGGGGAAAGTTGCAGCTGTTACTGTTTTGTTTGTATGTTTTGTTTTTGGTGGTGGGTTTTTTGTTTGTTTTTGGTTTTGTTTTTTGGAGACAGTCTCACTCTGTATCTCTGGCTGGCCTTAACTCATTATGTAAACCAGGCTGGCCTCAAATTTACAGAAGTCTGCCTCTGCCTCCTTAAAAAAATAATTTCTTAAAAATTAACTACTTAAATATTCACTTCTTTTGTTGCCACATTCCAGATTGGCCAATTGACATTCTAGGTGGCTTTAATGCACGATTCAGAGATGAACATGGGTTTAGACATTCTTTAAATTATATTTCCTGATTACCCTGTAGGGAGGAGTTCTGGGATTAAAGGCATGCACTGCTATGCCTAGCTGAGTAACCTATTATGTTTTCCTGTTTTGGCTGAGCAGATTTTCTGAGTCAAAAGAGTGAAAAGTATCCAAGGATAAAAAGAGTGTTCTTTGGACTAAGAGGGGGCTTTTATGTTTTATGTGTATGGGTATTTTGCCCGCATGCACAGATATGTGCACCACATTGCCTGGTGCCAAGGATCGCCTGCAACTGGAGTTACAGGAAGTTGTGAGCTGCCATGTGGGTATTGGGAAGTAAACCCAGGTCTTCTTTAAGAGAAACAAGTAGTCTTAACCACTGAGCCATCTCTCCTGCCCTGAAAGGTAGCTCTTTAGTTGAGGGAAGTTGAGAGGCTGAGTTGCTCAACATGGGTCAGAGGTCATCATTACTAAGCATCACTCCAAGTTTACAGAGTTTGAGAAGGACTTTTGGGAGGTCGGGAAAAGCTTCCAGAACTGCTTTCCAGTAACTGCAGTTGGGAGAAACAACTGCATTTACAGACAGAGACACACGAAGATAGTGCTGATAATTTGAAACCAAATTCTAATGTAAATGAGATAATACAACAGAGGGGAAACCCCTATACTGGAGTTGTGTCAGGAGATTTCCCAAAGCATATGATTTCAAATACAAATATTTTAGAAAACCAAAAATTAAGCTCCCTATCCACCCTTAATGGAATCTTCTTTCCCAAGGCCTGAACTTGAACATGAAAGAGAGGTGTTTTTATTGATTTCTCCTTTCCCTATAAACAAGAACATTTTCTGAAGCTGTGTAAGGACAGATATACTTTCACCTAGAATTTTCAGTACCAATGATATATCCAGAGAGCCTTAATAAATGGTCAGTCAGCTTAGTCCTCAATATTACTTGCTAGGATTTTGGAACAGAACTTGCTTCTGGGTTGCCTAGCAACTTATGATGTCATCATGTGTGACAATTTATGATGTCATCATGTGTCACCGGTCAGGTGGCCATACCTGGAAGGCGTGGTTACCTTGCCCCTTAAAAGGACAACTCAACACGTGTTCGCTCTCTTGGTCCTTTCTCCTCCTCTTTTTTTCTTTTTTACATTGCAGACATCTTTAACATATGTCTTTTTAAAATTTTTAATTATAGTTTATTCACTGTGTATCCCAGCTGTAGCCCCCTCCCCCATCCCCTCCCAATCTCACCCTTCCTCTTTAATGTAAGTCTTAAGCACAGAGGTTAATGAAAAAAGAGATGCGCAGGGAACAAATAAGACATACCCCACACATTTCTCAGGGAAGAGTTGCCATTAAGTAGCCAACTGTTTTGAAAAATATAATAAATCATGAGGCAAGCTATCCCTTACTGTATAAAACTACCACCACAAAATAGCCACCAGAAGATAAATGGTAATATTTTAGGTGGGATAATAACTAGAATTATCAGAAGCCCATTTTGAATTCACGCCAGACACAAATATAGATACAGTTACATAATAGAGCAGTTCAGTCCCAAGGCCTTCCAGGGAATCATTTTTGTAGGAGACTTCCACTGTTATTTTTGTCATGACTTGATTTTTTTTTCCTGTCTGTTCTGACTGGGTTCTTTAAATTTTTCATTTCTCTGGGGTCTCCTTCAGTTCTTCAAGATTCAGTACAGAGTTGAGTAGATACAAGAGCCAATGTGCACACTGCCCAGCTGAAAGGCCATGTTTATAATTTCAAGAATGGTTTCCTTCTGCAGAGGCAAATTACCTAGTGAAGTTGATTGAAGGAAAACAATGGCTGCCAGGCCAAGGTGGAAGGCTGTCATTATTTCTTGTCCTGGTTCAAAGTCCTCATGCCATACTTGTTCTTCAAGAAAAGTAAACAGTGCAGAAGAAGGGGCTACTAACAGCTTTCATCCCTGCTTGAAGTTTTGCCATGCTCTAACTAAATGTAGGAACAAGTCCTTAAAGGCTCTTACTAAGGAAAGAGAAAAGGGAGCATCTCAGAGACCCCCTGACCCTTCCTATGGAAGCCTGGAGAGAGGAATGTCAGGGAGCTTCTCAGACCTTTCTTTCTTTCTTCCCCTCCCCCATTCAGCTTTTCTCTCTCTTCTTGTGGCTCCTTAGAGGATAACCCAAGCGCTGCAAACAATGGAATTTGTTCTTTTGATCTGTGGAATGACACCTAGCAGATGAAAGGGAGTTTTCAGGATCTCAATTTTATCACTATGGGCTACAGGCTATGTGGCCTTGCTCAAGTCACTGAATTTCTCTGAGCCTAGTTATTTAACCAAGGGACTCATCCAGGGTCTCAGATAAAGTACTGGATTTCTAGGATTCATTGAATGGGAAATCCTTTCAGACACTCAGGAGATTCTACAGAGTACAGGGGAAAAAAGAGTAAAAATGAAAAAGTATGTGTATATATGCATCCAAGGAGTAACCTCAAAATTATTGAGTTTTCTATGTTATCCTCTATCTGTACCCAGACATCTGTCTTAGATGTTTGAATACTAGTATGTCCAAGTATAAAGTGAATGGCCTCACTTTAACTGTGCAGTGCTCAACTCTCTCCTGATGAATTCCACCAAAGGTTTTCATCCAGAATTGGGTAAAAGCAGTCTTTCAGTCATCATGCTGCCCTTGCTATCATTACAAGCTTCTGAAAAAATGATGTTAGAAGAAAGTATTGGAAAGACAGTATGTTTGCTCCTTTAAAAAAAAAAAAGTTCGATTTATTATGTATAAAATATTCTGTCTGCATCTAGACTGCATGCGAGAAGGCACCAGATCTCATTATAGATGGTTGTGAGCCCACCAAGTGGTTGCTGGGAAATTAACTCATGACCTCTGGAAGAGCAGCCAGTGCTCTTAACCTTACCTGAGCCATCTCTCTAACCCTGTTCGCTCCTTTTTTTAAATGTGTGTGATTTTCTAGAAGAGGCTGCTCCACTTCAGCCTTTCTCTGAACACTGCTCTCTTTCCTCTTGTATTGTTTCTTTTCCCTGATGAGTATTGTTGCTATCTTGACTCATGTTTGTATTTCTAAATAAAAGAGGAAAACCAGGTTATGATCATTGTTCCCACCCAGGCCAGGCATGCCATAGCCAGTTCAAGATTGTGACTATAAGAATTTCAAAAGTCAGAAAAGATGATTTGTAGAGGACAAATCATCACTCTGGTAAATGTACACCACCATGAATTTTTTGTTTGGCTGTGTCACTATAGTCTCGGAATGGAAACCAGGATCTGTTACACACTAAATAAACACTCTGTCACTTAGCTACAGTCCAGCCCTGATTAACTAAACTCTTTTTTGGCTTGTTTGTTTTTTGAGTCTGGGGTCTCATGAAGGCCAGGCTGATCTTAGAGAGCAGCCAAGACTCGTCTTGAACTCTTGATCCTCCTGCCTCCACCTCTGGGAGTGCTGGAATTATAAAGCATGTGCTACCACACTGGCAGGAATTGCCCTTTTAATGCTTGTAAGCTTGATGCTGGCTATGATTTTGTAGAGTATATTTTCACCTAAAAACTGTACTCAGAGTCTATATAAGAAAAATCACTTCCAATAGCATTAATATTTCCAACAGTTGACATGACAGCTCATTATAAAATTGCTCCCAAAACAGAGAGCATTCCATATACTTGGCAGTCCTTCCTAAGGGCAAAGCCTAAGACTGGAATAGCAGGGAGTCATAGGTCAAGGCAGAAGGGCATTTGGCAGTCCTGAGGAAGTCTGTCCGGTACACTTTACCAGAAGCAGCTCAAGTTGCATCAAGTTTCGAAGTTTCAGTTATGTTGAATAATCAACAAATAGACCATCTATAATCAGATCTGGTGCCCTCTTCTGGCCTGCTGGCACACATGCAAGCAGAATACAGTAGAAATAATAAATAAATAAATCTTTAAAAAACAAAACAAATAGCAGTTTTACCCGAGAAAACTATAAACAAAGTCAAACACATTGAAGGAAAAGGTCTTAGCAACATTTGCGTAGTAATCCAAAATAACCTTTTCTTTATGTTAAAGCAATGTGTTTTCTGTGCATGAAGTTGCCTTCTCATAGAACTGTCTACAAAGGGGCTGGAGAGATGGCTCAGAGGTTAAGAGCACTTCCAGAGGTCACAAGTTCAATTCCCAGCAACCACATGGTGGCTCCCAACCATCTATAATGAAATCTGGTGCACTCTTCCTGGCATTCAGGTGTACATGCAGGCATAACGTTGTATACATAATAAATAAATAAATAAATCTTTTTTAAAAAATCTGGAAAAAAAAAGTACTGGCTGCTCTTCCAGGGGTTCTGAGTTCCAGCAAATTTACTGAATCTATTCTGTGGGATGGAAGAGTTTTACAGGTGTATGGGTTACTAGATTTAGCTACATCAGCACTTTCCATTTATAAACAAGAAAAGGAGGTCCAAGTTGGTTTGAGAAGAGCTGGCCCTTGTATATTTAGGCAGTTTCGCAGGAGAACCAGCATTCTTAGTTCTTTCTACTACATGGGATACCAATGGAGATTATTTGGCTTAGCTTTAAATTTTGTTTTTCAGGGAATCAACGAGGTGCCTACGGAAATGAATAGAACAAGACCCCGGAAAAACAATACCTTGGTTCATTTTTTAAACGAGGACGATTATCTAGAAGAGCCTGCTCCGCTTCAGTCTTTCTCAGAACAAACAACCGACAAAAGGATGGATAGAACATCTGGCTTTTCCTCTAGAATCGCTGAAGAAGGAACTACTTTTAAGAGGAAAGACTCTTCCTTCCAGATCGCGGAAAGAGAACAAGATCCAACTTTAAGAGATGGGTGGAGGAAGTCGCCAAAGAATGTACCTAACACAAATTCTGCCTTCTGCGACTTGATTGATTTCGATAGGGATAGTCCCCAAAGAGAGAGCCCCTCTGACTGGAGCAAGAAGGAATTATCGACTGCCTCACAACGCAACAGGAAGAAATGGTCTGAAGCAACTCCAAAACTCCGTCTGTACCTTCTAAATGAAGAACTGAGGAAACTTAACCAGAAATGCTGTGAGATAGAACAGGACTTTGAAAACGCCGAGAAAGAACTTTTGAACTGCAGAAGAGAAGCGATGACGAGAGCAGTCAATTTTCAAGAACCAGGGACGGCTGCTTCAAAGAATGACCGGGAACTGCAAGCTTTAAAAAACGATCTGTCTGAAAAAACGAAAAACGTAAAGAACATAACCGAAGAACTCCAGCAAGCCAAAGAAGTAATGTGCAGATTGAATCTAGAGAACAGAAAGTTGAAATATGCCATCAGGAAACTGAAACATCAAACTGAAATCAGTACTGCACTCCTCAGAGAAGAAATGAAGCTCTATTTTGAGCTGGAGATGGAAAAGATCCGCTTAGATCTGGATGCCCTCAAGCATGAGCTGAGAACAGAGAAGAGCCAACGCGTAAAGAACACAAGAGCCTTGGAGATGCTTGGAAGACACTTTGCTTCCGTGATGATGATGCCGACCACCGCTGACCACATCACAGGCAATACTTTTTAAACTTAAGAAAAGAAAGAAAAAAAAAAAAGAAAAACCTTTCACTGGGCAAGTTATGGAGCCAAAACCATGTTCATTGTACTATAGATTTGTGTGCTGCTAAAACGTATTTGATAGCTTGTAATCTTTACTTCTGGTGAATTAGAACACCTACAAACTATACAGTTGTTGACTTCAAAGGAACTGTTTTCTCCTCCTCATGAATACATTGTGAGCTTCCTAATGGAAACTGCTGAAATCACTTTTATATGAGATATATATGATGATGTATATATCTCATTAGAAAAACAACTCCAGACTAATTCACTACATCATGTATGAATTCAAATCAGCAACATTATGTGATCTTGTTAGCTATGTCTTTGGCTCATGGATGTTCTTCCATCTGTAGTAATCAGTATCAACAATAAAATCTTGCCAGTGATGCTTCTTTTTTTCTTTCATAAAATAATCAGCTGGGTTTTATTAAGTCAAGACAATATTATTCAAACCTCTTGTTATTGCCATGTCGTTCTTACACCAAATTGGTTCTATATGAATGTAAACTTTTTTCATTTTTTAAAAATTTATTTATAATTTTATAAATTACAGCTTATTCACTTTGTATCCCCTCTGTAGTGCCCTCCCTCATCCACTCCCAATCCCACCCTCCCTCCCTCATCTCCTCCTATGTCCCTCCCCAAGTCCACTGATAGGGGAGGTCCTCCTCTTCTTCCTTCTGATCTTAGTCTATCAGGTCTCATCAGGAGTGGATGCATTGTCCTCCTCTGTGGCCTGGTAAGGCTGCTTCCCCCTCAGGGGAAGGTGATCAAAGAGTCAGCCACTGAGTTCAGCCTGTGATTCTTGAAAAAAGAAAACAATAACAAAAATAAGCCTGTGAACCTTTTAGTTGCCGGGTCAAACTCAGCAGAACAAAAATGTATCTGCTTTCTTTGTGGTCTGCCTTAATTAGGCACATGTAAACATCTCGGGAACACAATCTCCCCTGGTGATTTCTTTGGGCTTTCTCCTTGTTCTTGGACACAGTTCCCATAGACTACAAGATGATTTAGAGTCACTCTTTTGACCTTTGTTAAAAGCTGGGCGTCAGCCATGGCTCTTGCATTTTCTTATGTTGCCCAGCAAGGGGCGTTTTGTTTACACATTTTTCGCAAAGTTCAGCCAGGGGGAGTTTTCTAAGCTCCTAGCCTGACTTAGATCGCTGGGCTAGGACTGCTGTGAAAGGTGTCGCATGTCACCTAGACAAACTTTTAGTGTGATGGCTTGATTTAGGTCATCACCCACTCCTGTGAGGGGCCCAGGAAATGACAATTTGCTTTGTATTTACAAAGAAGGAAAACGTGCTGCCTTTGTCCATCAGGGGAAGTAATGGCCCAGTTGATCCTTTGCATTTGTGGATGTTGAACATCAAGATTTCCAATAATCAGACTCTTGCATGTCATTTTTTGAGATTACCTTATAATATAATTACACCATTTCTTCCTACCCTTCACTTCCTCAAAACGTGCTCATATGCCCTCCTTGCCCTCTGTTAAATTCGTAGTCTCTTTTACCATTAGTTGTTGTTACATACACATATGTGTGTACATGTATTTTCCTAGAACCTGCTTAATCTGTATAATGCTACTTATATGTATGTCTTCAGGGCTGAGCATTTGGTAATGGAGAACCAATTTGTGTTCTCTGCTCAGGGGGAGACTATTTCTCCCACTTTGAGCATTCCTCAGTTAACTGTAGTTCTTTGGGTAGAGCTGAGGCCTCATGGACTTTCCCCTGTCTATTTTGGCATTTATATTTCTGTTGTCCTTGTTCAGCTCATGTTTAGGCAGTCATGTTCATGAGACTTTATGGGTTTAGATTCTAACATTCATAGGAGACACAAGCTCACAGCAAACTCCTTGATCCTCTGGCTCTTAACAATCTTTCAGCCAACTCCTCCAAAATGTCCCCTGAGCCTTAGGTGCAGGAATTGTTTTACAGAAGTATTCATTGGGACTGGGTTTCACAACTCTCCACTTTGACTGTGAAGATAACCCTTATATGAATGTATAAGGACAAACGTTTAGAGTATAGTTAGAAGTTATGGTGGTTAGTAAAAGAGTGGTCATAGGTTCTTGAAGATCTGTGACATCACTTGTGGGTGTTTTGCATGCACAAATATCTGTGTGACATATATGTACCTGGTGACTGAGGAGGCCAGAAGAAGGCAGCAAATTCTCTGGAGCAGGATTACAGACAGTTATGAGCCACCATCTAAATGCTGAAAATCATACCCAGGTCCTCTGGAAGAGCATCCATTGTTTTTAACCTCAGAACCATCTCTCTAACTCCCTACTGGGGTAATTTTAAGTCCAATGAATAAAATGTAATCTAGACTATGAGGGTAGAAATACCATTATTCAGGTGGGAAAATCACCAAATTGGGAGTCAGGTTTCTCTGATTGCTAGCACTTGCTTTCCTGATGACTACTTATTTCTTCTAGAACTAAAAGGCCTCATTTATAAAATTAGAAAGGAGATCTATCATGAAGATGCTCTTCAGAGCTTAACATGGTGGCCTATAGCTCCATCAGTCTAAAGTTGCTGAAGGATCACTAGAGCCTAGATGTCCAAGGCCAGCCTGAGCAACATAGTAAGACTCCCTTCATTAAAAAAAAAAAAATTCTATACAGTTTTTAGGTAGTGACTTCAACTTAATTTTTATTTGAAAGTGTAACTAACTGCGGCTGTGGTGAGGTAAAATGGCTGTGGTACCAAGTACATTCAACTTTAATATCTTTGGGTACCTATACCACATATGTGTCTTTTTTTTTTATAGAGAACATGCTCCAGTTTATTGATAGTCAGTTAGTAGATAGAAGTTCGTCAGTGTGAAGATATAGTACTGCAAATGAATTTGAAGAAGAGTTGAGAATTGTACAACTTTATGTATGAATGTCTGGGAAGCCATATTGCATAGTCTTTGTCACACATTCCACAGATACCTGTTGAAGAACTAATATTGGGTCATACTACAAACTGGGTAAATACACAAACGTGGTAATAAAAAAGAAAATTTAGTGTGGAGTCCTTACTTTGCAAATGGCAGGAGTTTGAGGACGCCACCTGTCTTCTAAGATTGTAAACTTCTCATTGGTAGTGTGGCATAACCACAGTAAGTATCACTAGCAAGCAACAATTTTGTATGTTAGAACAGAGCTCATGTGTTTTATTTTGTTTTTAATTTTTATTTTTTAGTATTAATTATAGTTTATTTACTTTGTCTCCCAGCTGTAGCCCCCTCCCTCATTCCCTCCCAATCCCACCTTCCCTCCCTCATCTCCACCCTGTCCCTTTCCAAGTCCACTGCTAGGGGAGGTCCTCCTCCTCTTCCATCTGACCCTAGCTTATAAGGTATCTTCAGGACTGGCTGTAATGTCCTCCTCTGTGGCCTAGCCAGGCTGTTCCTCCCTCGGGGCAGGGGGGGGAGGTAAAGGAGCCAGTCATTGAGTTCATGTCAGAAATAGTTCCTGTTACCCTTACTAGGGAAACCTACTTGGATACTGAGCTACCATGGGCTACATCCAAGCAGGGGTTCTGGGTTATATCCATACATGGTCCTTGGTTGGAGAAACAGTCTCATAGAGGACTCTTGTGCCCTGATATATTTTGTCCTTGTAGGGCTCCTGTCCTCTCCCAGTCATACTAACTCCCCCTTTTATCATATGATTCCCTGCATTCTATTGAATGTTTGGTTATGAGTCTCAGCATCTGCTTTGATAAGCTGCTATGTAGAGTCTTTCAGAGGCCCTCTGCGTAGGCTCCTGTCCTGTTTCTTGTCTTCTCCTACTTCCCATGTCTATCCCATTTGCCTTTATAAGTGAAGATTGATCATCTTACCCTGGGTCTTCTTTCCTGTTTATCTTCTTTAGGTGCACATATTTTAGTATGTTTATCCTATTTTATAGGTCTATATAAGTGAGTATATACCATGTGTGTCTTTCTGGTCCTGGGATACCTCACTCGGGATGATCTTTTCTAGATCCCACCATTTGCCTGCAAATTTCATGATTTCCTCATTTTTAATTGCTGAGTAGTATTCTATTATGTAAAAGTACCACAATTTCTGTATCCATTCCTCCGTTGAGGGATATCTGGGTTGTTTCCAGGTGCTGGCTATTACAAATAAAGCTGCTACAAACATGTTTGAGCAAATGTCCTTGTTGTATACTTGAGCATCTTTTGGATATATACCTAGGACTGGTATAGTTGGATCTTGAGGAAGCACTATTCCTAATTGTCTAAGAAAGGGCCAGATTGATTTCCAAAGTGGTTGTACAAGTTTACATTCCCACCAGCAGTGGAGGAGGGTTCACCTTTCTCCACAACCTGTCCAGCATGTGTTGTCACTTGAGTTTTTAACCTTTGCCATTCTGATGGGCATAAGGTGAAATCTCAGGGTCGTTTTGATTTGTATCTCTATAATGGGTAAGGACATTGAGCATCTCTTTAGGTGTTTCTCTGCTAGTCTATATTCCTCTACAGAGAATTCTCTGTTTAGCTCCATACCCCATTTTTTTAATTGGATTGCTTGGTTTATTAATTTTTAATTTCTTTAATTCTTTACATATTCTGGATATCAGCCCTCTGTCAGATGTAGTGTTGGTGAAGATCCTTTCCCAGTCTGTAGGCTGTTGTTTTGTTCTGATGACAATGTCTTTTGCTTTACAGAAGCTTTTCAGTTTCATGAGGTCCCATTTATCAATTGTTGCTCTAAGAGCCTTTGCTGTTGGTGTTCTGTTCAGGAAGTTGTCTCCTGTGCCAATGAGTTCCAAGGTCTTCCCCACTTTTTCTTCTAACCAATTTTGTGTATCTGGTTTTATGTTGAGGTCTTTGATCCACTTGGACTTTATTTTTGTGCAGGGTGATAAATATGGATCGATTTTCATTATTCTGCATGTAGACAACCAGTTGGACCAACACCATTTGTTGAAGATACTGTCTTTTTTCCATTGAATGGTTTTGGCTTCTTTGTCGAAAATCAAGTATTCATAGGTGTGTGGGTTTATTTTTGGGTCTTCTATTTGGTTCCATTGATCCACCTTTCTGTTTCTATGCCAGTACCAAACAGTTTTTATTATTATTGCTCTGTAGTACAATTTGAGATCAGGGATGAAATATCTCCAGACGATCTCTTTTTGTACAGGATAGTTTTGAAAATTCTGGGTTTTTTGTTTCTCCATATAAAGTTGAGAATTTTTCTTTCAAGTTCTGTAAAGAATTGTATTTGTATTTTGATGGGAATTGCATTGAATATGTAGATTGCTTTTGGCAGGATGGCCATTTTCACTATGTTAATCCTACCAAACCATGAGCACGGGAGATCTTTTCATCTTCTGATATCTTCTTCAATTTTTTTCTTCAGAGACTTGAAGTT